ACATTTGTTACTTTTTGTATTTTTAATCAAAGCCACCTAAACGGGTATGAGGATATCTCATTGTAGTTTTCATTTGCATTTCCCTAACGATTAGTGATGTTGAACATCTTTTCCTGTACTTATTGGCCATTTGTGTATCTTCTTTGGAGAAATATCTATTCATGTCCTTTGCCCATTTTTGAAATGGATTGTTTGGGATTTTTGTTGTTGTTGTTGAGTTGCAGGGGTTCTTTATATATTCTGGATATTGATCCCTTATCAGATATATAATTTGCAAATGTTTTCATTCTACAAGTAATTAAGTGCCTGTTATGGGTCAGGTACTGTGCCAGATGCCTCTGGAACACCAGTGAATGAGTCAGTTCATTCTTTCAAGAAACATAAAATAGCAGGGTCAACACAGAAGCAGATCTAAGTGTCCATTTGGTGGGGTAAAAAGTTATCACAATTCTTCTCAAATATGCAAAGGGAAATGGAGCTAATTTCTTATAACTGATGTTTTTACTTCTTGAATCTCCACCCCATTGGGTGGGTGGTGGTGGTAGTAGAAGAATTTAATTATTCATTTCATTTTAACTTCAACTCCCTAACATGGCTATTCCTTGCTCTGCCCTTTTCTGCCATCTGGATACCTGGGAAGGGGGTTTCACTCACATTAGGTGAGGTAGTGCTATAGATTAGGTCTCAGTTGGGCTTGCTGTCCTTTTCTAGTCTCCAGTCTTCACAGTTGGTCTGCTGTTGTGCTTGCTCATCAAATTTATAGCAACCAATGATCTGTTCTTTTGACTAGGCAGGAAGCCAGTATCCCTTCCTTTGTGATTTGTCCCCACATCAGTTTTTTTTTTTTTTAATTTTTTTTTCAACGTTTATTTATTTTTCGGACAGAGAGAGACAGAGCATGAACGGGGGAGGGGCAGAGAGAGAGGGAGACACAGAATCGGAAACAGGCTCCAGGCTCTGAGCCATCAGCCCAGAGCCTGACGCGGGGCTCGAACTCACGGACCGCGAGATCGTGACCTGGCTGAAGTCGGACGCTTAACCGACTGCGCCACCCAGGCGCCCCCCACCCCCCACATCAGTTTTAACCACCCTGTAAGGTATGGCTGAGACTCCCAGCTGATTCTGGGCCCACTGGGTCCTGCAGCTCTTAGCTATAAGATCCACAAAGTTTGTGCAACAGTCCCAACTCTCCAGGTGGTGCAATCAGCTCTTTTCCAAGGTCCCCATTGGGCATGGAGAACTGCTATAGGTCTTCTATGTGAGATGTTAGCTGGTAGAGGCCCTTTGCCTAGCACTACAATGCCATTTTTACAATAGTTCAGTGTTGGAAAATAGGAAGTCTCTTCAGCAGTTGCTCTCCCAATGCAATCAATAGGAAGGGGGTGCAGTCCTCTCCCCTTTCAATCCCCTTTGGCATTTCTTCAGGGATTGGCTGCAGAGATGAAGGGACACCTGTGTCTGATCTCTTTGCCTCATCATTACCAGGGGCAAGAGGGCTTTTCATTTATCTCATGTCTTCTTTCTTCCCAAAGTATCATTCCTCCTCCTCCTCTTCTTTGGGGCCATATTTGCAGCTTGATATTTTAAAAATATTTTGGGTAATAAATACCAGTAAGAACAGACTGCTATGTAACAAATAGAAGGGTGTGGTAGTGGTCCCCAGCCTACTCTCAGAGTGTTAGGGTAGGCTTCCTGGAAGAAGCCTAAGCTAAAATCTGAATACATAGGAGTTAAGTGCAGAAGATGTTAAGAGTTCAAAAGGAGCACATGCAAAGGCTGGAGGCAGGAGAACTTCTGAAAATTCAGAATATCTTTGGCATAGAGTATGAAGGCAATGGCAAGAGATAAAACTGAAGAGGTAAGCTGTGGTCAGATCATGAAGAGTCTCAAAAAAACTTTTAGGAGCTAACTGTATATTAAAAGCAATGGGGGGGCGCCTGGGTGGCGCAGTCGGTTAAGCGTCCGACTTCAGCCAGGTCACGATCTCGCGGTCCGTGAGTTCGAGCCCCGCGTCGGGCTCTGGCTGATGGCTCAGAGCCTGGAGCCTGTTTCCGATTCTGTGTCTCCCTCTCTCTCTGCCCCTCCCCCGTTCATGCTCTGTCTCTCTCTGTCCCAAAAATAAAAATAAAAAACGTTGAAAAAAAAATTTAAAAAAAAAATAAAAGCAATGGGAAGCGTATGTTTTGAGCAAGGAAGTGACATGATCAAACATATGTTTTTGAAAGATCATTTTGGTTGAAAGAAATGGAAGCATATGAAGTCAAAGCTAAGTCACTTTGCTCCCCCTCACTCAGGGATTAGCTACCATCTCAAATTTTGTGGACGCACCAGAAAAGTATAGAGTTGGAGAGTCAATCACATCACCATCTTTAAATATTGAAGAGATGCATTCTCAAGGAAGGCAAAGGATGAAGAAATAGAAGAGGGGATAGGTAATTACTAACGGCAGCCAAGGTCCTTCAGAGGTGAGAAGGAATGATGAGGGGCCAGCGAGACCCCTCTTCTTTAATTCTGAAGATGGGAAATGATGGGTGAAGTGTAGATAGGTTGGCAAACTTGATGGCAGAAAGTTTTTTTAAGTTATTTTTCCCCCCTGTAATGCAGGAGGCAAAATCATAGCCATCTGCCCATGAAGAAGGTGGCCAAGGAGTATAGCAAACATTGTTGGCTGACCCATTGTCATTCCTAATCCCCACCTGCCCTGCTGCTTCCCCTCTAGAGGTTGAAAACCCATGCTTTCTGAAACACATTTGCAAAAAGGAAACATAGCAGAATTTTGCTGGGGATTCTTGGAAAGCTTTTACTTTTCCTAGTAAAGGAGATGGCCATTGCTGGAGCTCCACTTCCTTTTTCTTCCTGACTTGATCCTGGATGTTATTCCTGAAGCTCTCTTGCCTGATAAAATAAACATGAGGGAATGACCAAAGGGCAGAGACCACATCCAGACCAGTTGTTGTTCAGCTGCTGATTGACAGCCAGCATCAACTAACCTCCAGCTTTCTGGTTACAAAACCTTATTTGTTTAAACCATCAAAGGTGGATTTTGCATCCAGAATCATTCCTGATACAGGTGAGTTTAAGGACAATGATAAACGTGTGATCTGGTTTCATGTAAAGAGAGAACATAGGCTTATAGCTAACATTAAAGGCCAAGGAAGTTAAATTCTTAAAAATACCGATTTCACTTGGGAGTATTTAACATCTGTGGGAATTAATCTAATAGGGGTGCTAATATCGTGCTAATTTTAAAAATCAAGGTTAGCCGAAATCATATTAATTCTCCATTTAAATAAACTAGCCCCTTCCACTCATTAGGTGACTTTTTAAAAAATGGTTTTAATGTTTATTTATATCTGAAGAAGAGAGATACAGAGCATGAGTGGGGTGGGGCAGAGAGAGAGGGAGACACGGAATCCAAAGCAGGCTCCAGGCTCCAAGCTGTCAGCACAGAGCCAGACGTGGGGTTTGAACTCACAAACCATGAGATCATGACCTGAGCCAAAGTCAGACACCCAACCGACTGAGCCACCCAGGCACCCCTAAGTAAGTGACTTTTATAAGTGCAAGATCACTCAGTACACAGCAACAGCCTTAAAAGTTTCGTCATGAACTTAGATGATATGACTCATACCACCTTCTTGTGGAGAAATTCAGATTACTCACAATGCAGGGAATACAACCTTTTAAGGTTTATGGCAGCACCAAATGAAGACAACTTCCCTCAGAACAGTTGATTAAGATTCTGTCATTTTATTCACATAGTAACAACAAACTCTTTCAATAATTAAGCAATAATTCACAATACAGATTTCTGAGGCATTTGCTGCTTTAATAGATGGCTTGTTCCTTTCTATAATTATGAACAGAATGAGCCCAAATACTCCTACACTTTTAATAACTGAAAATATACAAAACCCTATATTCCTATTAACTACAGCTACAAAGTATAATCACTATCAGAAAATTCTGTAATTACAATTTACATTCACCTCTCTCCTTACCAATCTTATGTTATTAATATTCTAAGTAGAGCATAGTAATCCCATATTTGTGTCTGGAGTTACTCTAAGCACTACATATGGTTGGATTTTGATAATGCAATGTTTATACTTCACAAGAAACCCGCTCAGACAAAGAAGTTTACTATGAGTCCCCTCTTCCCTTCTCCTGAAGACTTTCATTTCTGATGTTTGCTTTCCATATTGGGTAACTGTGGCACCACAAAAAACATTATAATGCATGTATTCTTGTAATAGTTTTATCAAGAATCTCTAGAAAAGGAAACGTTATGTTGTACACTGTCAGAATAATTTTAATAACATACAAGTCAGTCATTTTATTTTTAAACAAGAAATCTAATTGATTTAACTATGGGTAAAACTCAGTGGACTCTTTAAATTGAAATTTGGTAATGTCTTCTTTTGTACCAGAGCATCAAAACCCAGGGTCTCATGTCCTGACAACCTGTCTACAAACAAGCCTTACTAAGCATGCATAAGACCCTGAAAAGGTTGTCTTGTGATGCCTGAAACATATTCACAGCTGATTTATGCCAGAAAGGGGGCCATGAAGAACAGTGAAGGATAGTGGTCAGTTGTTAAGGGTTTCCTTTTCCTTTTCCATGTAAGCTGTGGTACTTCTCCATCACACGCCACACTTGCTAATATTTGTATTATATCAGTCTTAATTGGACAGTATTTTCATCTCCCTTTTTTCATTTTAAGATGACCATGAACCTTATATGAGCACCCACAGATAGCCCTATTTATTAGAATGTTCCTTATGTAGAATGTTCCTAAGACATGTAGAGCCATCTTAATGTTTTCACGGATTTATTTCCAAATTACATTGTAAAGGAGATTATTTATTTCCTACATAGGAAACTACTTAGTATCATCAATAGTATATAGGCTTTTGTGAATTTCCATAAGAGATTAAGTGCCTTTACTCATCTGCCTCCTAACAATGAACCTGGACATTTCAGCCTAGGTCTGAAGGTATCAATTCTTTTGAGTCTCCTCAATCCTATTCTCGTATTTTGAATCTGGTAAGAGAAAACAAATGGTAAAAAATTTTAAAATGCTCTAATCTTTGGTCTGAGAACTCCAATGCTCAAGTTATGGAATAGAAGAAAACACTTATCTTGATACTGATTCCTTCTCAACAGGGAAAATATGTTTGTCTAAAAAGAAATATACTAGTTTATTACTTGTGTTAGTAATGGAAATAGGACATGTTTGGGAATATCTTTTCAAGGAAGAGCTGCCCTGGGGATGGAAATTTGAATTCAGCTTTAGAATCTCAAACATCTGGATTGACACTGCACTGATAAGCAAAAAAGCAAACGATGATAGAAGATATTCTACATTCTCTCCTGTAGCTCTTACGACTTTTGAAAGCAAACCAGTGCCCACTAAAAACTACTGAAATACTGAAAGAGTGTGTGTGCTTTCTGTCTTATCCTGCTGACAAAGCTCTGAGCAAATGCTTTGATTCCCTTACAACACTGATGGGACTTTTTCTTTAGTGTGTCTTTTCCTATGTCTGAGAAGATTTGAGCTTTGACTAAAGGCTTTCCCACATTCATGACACTTGTAGGGTTTTTCCCCAGTGTGAGTTCGTCGATGCTGAATCAGGACTGCACTTCGGCTGAAAGCCTTTGCACACACATCACATGCATAAGGTTTCTCTCCGCTGTGGATTCTATGATGTAGGATAAGGGCTGAGCTCTGACTGAAGACTTTGCCACATTCATCACACTTATGTTGTTTTTTTCCAGAAGAGTTTCTCTGTTTTCTTTCAAACCCACTATCTTGTTCACAAGCTCTTCTATACGTGAAACTCTGGGAAGCATTCATATGAAGGGTGTCAGAAATATTGTAAGGCAGTTCTATGGTTGGAGGAGTCTTTTGCCTCGAAGCTGAATTCACATTGATAGTTTTGCTCTCTTTCGCTGAAATAATATAGAGAAAAGCAATTTCACTCATTCTCTGTTCAGAAAGAAAGGTAAATTGAATGATCCAAATGAAATACATATGGATTATTTATTAGCCAGCATGTTTGTAAAATAGCATCACAGTGTGGAAGATGAGGATGCTAAGACAGAACACATTGAGAACATCATAAAGCAAGAGGGAAAGCTTTACATACTGAGGAGACAGTCAACTATAGAGAAGAAAAGCACCATGCAAAAAGTAGAATGGTGAGTAGAGGTAAAAAGATATATCAGAGACTGAAGAAAATCTGGAAGAAAAGAGACTACAAGATAAGGAATAATGGGAGAAGCAGAGAAACAAGCAGAAGAGGAGACAAATGTGGCAGTGGGTAGTAATAGACAAGACTTAGTGTGAGGGTCAACAGAGAAAAGTTTAATAATGAGGAATGAAATGAGGAAAGCCAAGGGTCAAAAATGAATATAGAAAATAAGCTCAAAATATAAAAATTAGGGGGAAAAGGGGGGAGAATTACAGACTGAGATAACAGACACCTCAAACAAATCAAGGGTAGCACAAAGCATCCATTTATGAAAAACCTCTACTCTTGTATGTATTTTATAGTACTAGTTGAATGGCATTATTACTGGTTTAAATAGAAATAATTTTGTAAATGGTAAGGATTGTCTCAAATTCACTTCTGATACCTCAAACTCTAAAGTGACCTCAATGTCAAAATCCAAGGATGTCCACACTTGTCACCTTCAGTTAACACAGTACTGGAAGTCCTAACCACAGCAATTAGACAACATAAAGTAATACAAGGCATCCAAATTGGTAAGGAAGTAAAACTCTCACTATATGCAGATGACACGATACTATATCCAGAAAACTCTAAAGACTCCACCAAAAAACTACTACAAGTGGTAAATTGAGTCATGTTGCAGGATACAAAATCAATGTACAGAAAGCAAAAAACGAAATTAAGAAAACAATCCCACTTACAATTGCACCAAAAACAATAAAATATCTAAAAATATACTTAAAGAGGTGAAAGACCTATCCTCTGAAAAGTATAAAACATTTGATGAAAGAAATTCAAGATTATGCAAAGAACTGGAAAGATACTCAGTGATCATGGGTTGGAAGAACAAATATTGTTAAAATGTCTATACAACCTAAAGCGATCTACAGATTTAATGCAATCCCTATGAAAATACCAACAGAACTAGAACAAATAATTCTAAAATTTGTATGGAACCATGAAACACCTTTAATAGCCAGAACAATCTTGAAAAACAAAACAAAACAAAACAAAACAAAACAAAACTGGAGGTATCACAATTCCAAAGTTCAAGTTATATTACAAAGTGACAGGAAAACAGTATGGTACTGGCATAAAAGAATGAAGCTGGACCACTTTATTACACCACACACAAAAATAAATTTGAATTAGATTAAAGACCTAAGTGTGAGACCCACAACCATAAAATTTTGGAGAGAACAAAGGCAGTAATCTGACATCAGTGATAGCAACATTTTTCTAGAAATATCTCCTGAAGCAAGGGAAATAAAAGCAAAAATAAACTATTGAGGCTACATCAAAATGAAAAGTTTCTGCACAGCAAAGGACACAATCAACAAAACTAAAAGACAACCTACTGAATGGGGGACAATACTTGCAAATGACATACCCAATAAAGGGTTAGTATCCAAAATATATAACAAACTGATTCAACTCAATACCCAAAAAACAAATAATCCAATTGAAAAATTGTCTTTTGCCCAGAAGACATAAACAGACATTTCTCCAAAGAAGATATACAGATGGCCAACACACATGTGAAAAGATGCTTAACATCACTCATCATCAGGGAGATGCAAATCAAAACTACAATGAGGTATCTCACCTCACACCTGCCAGAATGGCTAAAATCAAAAACACAAGAAACAAGCGTTGGTGAAGATGTGGAGACAAAGAAACCCTCTTGCACTGTTGGTGGGAATGCAAATTGGTTCAGCCACTGTAGAAAATAGTATGGAGGTTCCTTAAAAAGTTAAAAGTAGAACTAGCCTATTATCCAGCAAATGTACTAGTGAGTATGTACTCAAAGAATACAAAAACACTAATTCAAAGGATACATGCACCCCTATGTTTAAAGTAGCATTATTTACAATAGCCCAAGTATCCATCAATAGATGAGTGGATAAGGAAGATGTATACACACACACACACACACACACACACACACTAAAATTATTCAGCCAAAAAAGAATGAAATTTTCCCATTTGCAACAACATGGATGGAGCTAGACAGTATAATATAAAGCGAAATAAGTCAGTCAGAGAAAGACATGATTTCACTCATATGTGGAATTAAAAACAAAACAAATTAGCAGGGTGGGGGGTGAAGGAGAAAGAGGGAGAAAGAGAGAGAGAGAGAGAGAGAGAGAGAGAGAGAGAGGCAGGCAGGCAAACCAAGAAACAAACTCTTAACTATAGAGAACTGATGGTTACCAGAGGGGAGGAGGGTGGGGGAATGGGAGAAAAAGGGGATGGGGATTAAGGAGTGCACTTATCATGATGAAGGATAAATAAAAAACAAAACAAAACAAAAAATGTAGAAAAGGCCTCTGTGAGGACATTCAGAGGTAGAACATAGTCCTTGCCAACTCTGAGATCCTAAAACCTGGCTTTAAGGCTAATTACTTTTGTAGTCACTGCCACAAAAAGCCGCTGAAGCAGGGATGGTTCCCTCTTGATCCTGATGGAGTGTGAACAGACTTTCATTTTTCTCTTAGTTAAGCCAAGACAACTGCTAGACTGGAGGTATTAAGTCCCCGGCACAAGCCTCTTGGGAGCAGGTACTTATCCAGTAAGAGAAATATTTTCTAAATCTCTACATTTCTGTATTTTATTTTTCCTATATTTTCTTATTAAAATTCTCTTGGAAAAACTCTAACTTTACTTAGCTGATCAAACCCCATAGAATAAGGAAGCAGTGCTGGGGAGGAGGGGAGATACTCCCAGTTGGGGTTTCCCTTTTCATTTCTGACTCCCATTTTATCCAGCATGATCATCTAGAAGGAAGGTCTCTGCTTAGATGTCACTCATCAAAGAGGGCTTCTCCACCACTTTATTTAATAAGACTCTGTCCCCACTTTATTTGATAATACTTATCCCCCTCATTTTGCTTTGGTTTTTCTTTCCATAGCACTTATTTTTTAGTGTCTGCAATGGAAAAGCTATGCTAGCCATTTTGAAGCACTTTTGTAAAAAGTGATGCAAAGAATTCTTCTCAAAGCTAGAACAAACAATCCTAAAACTTATATGGAACCACAAAAGACCCCAATAGCCAAAGTAATGTTGAAAAAGAAAACCAAAGCGGGAGGCATCACGATCCTGGACGTTAGCCTCTACTACAAAGCTATAATCATCAAGACAGTATGGTATTGGCACAAAAACGAACACACAGACTACTGGAATAGAATACAGAACCCAGAGATGGACCCACAAATGTATGGCCAACTAATCTTTGACAAAGCAGGAAAGAGTATCCAATGGAAAAAAGACAGTCTGTTTAACAAATGGTGCTGGGAGAACTGGACAGCAACATAAAGAAGAATGAAACTGGACCACTTTCTTACACCACACACAAAAATAAACTCAAAATGGATTAAAGACCTAAATGTGAGCCAGTAAACCATCAAGACCCTAGAGGAGAAAACAGGCAACAACCTCTTTGACCTCAGCCACAGCAACTTCTTACTTGACACGTTTCTGAAGGCAAGGGAAATAAAAGCAAAAATGAACTACTGGGACCTCAACAAGATAAAATGCTTCTGCACTGCAAAGGAAACAATCAACAAAACTAAAAGGCAACCAACAGAATGGAAGAAGATATTTGCAAATGACATATCGAATAAAGGGTTAGTATCCAAAATCTAGAAAGAACTTACCGAAACCAACACATGAAAAACAAATAACCCAGTGAAGAAATGGGAAGAAGACATGAACGGACACTTTTCCAAAGAAGACATCCAGATGGCTAACAGACACATGAAAAGATGCTCAACATCGCTCCTCAGGGAAAAACAAATCAAAACCACATTGAGATATTACCTCACACTGGTGAGAGTGACTAAAATTAACAACTCAAGGAACAAAAGATGTTGGTGAGGATGTGAAGAAATGGGAACCCTCTTGCACTGTTGGTGGAAATGTAAACTGGTGCAGCCACTCTGGAAAACAGTGTGGAGGTTCCTCAAAAAATTAAAAATAGAACTACCCTATGACCCAGCAACAGCACGACTAAGAATTATCCAAAGGAGGGGCGCCTGGGTGGCTCAGTCGGTGGAGCGTCCGACTTCGGCTCAGGTCATGTCAGCTGTGCTGACAGCTCAGAGCCTGGAGCCTGTTTCAGATTCTGTGTCTCCCTCTTTCTCTGACCCTCCCCTGTTCATGCTCTCTCTCTGTCTCAAAAATA